TTCTGACAAAACAGGTTACACTATAAATATAGACATATACGCAGACATCCTTCTAACAATTGAGCAAGTCATAATACACAAGTCAGATGTTTCAACTGATAGTTAACAACAATTATTTCAATGAAAACATATTTGCATGAAAATATAAATAACCATCAGAACAATGCTTGATCCTGTTAATGATATCATTATGGTGATGACCACATATGCAGTTCACACACAATCCACAATTTTAGTTAAAACTATGAGTTGAATATAAAAAAAAAGTTACAAAAAGCAATTACCTAAATTGTTCATAACACACAATTCATAACTCACTTTAAATTATTTCATATCAAAGATCATTAAAACCTTTATCATTAATAGGTGTAATAAGATATTCAGGATAGTGACCATCTAACCCCACGCTGACTCTAGCCATAGCTATTTGTTCCTTCATTAGTGAATGTTTATATTTATTCATAACGTTTTACGTATTTAATTAATAGTTTCAGTTGTTGTTATCTGAATTATATTAAGTTTAACTAAGTTAAAAAAATATATAGACAAACAAAGCTCTTAGAAAGCTAAAATGTTTTTATGGGTATACTAGAGTTATTATTAACAAAATTTAAGTCCAATATAAATACCTAGAACAAAGTTTTATGTATAAATAAACAAACATATGTTTCAACTTTTTTACAAATCATTAGCTCCATATTGCAAAACTTTTCTTTATTTTATTACCTTTCATAGATAAATTACAAGTATTTTCACAGAAATATAAAGTAAAATAATTTCTCTTCTCATGTCAATATCAGATGCCAGACAGATATGTATGAAACAAATTCTAAAGGATAACAAAACAACATTTTCCCAATAATAAGAACACAGGCCAGTGAATCAGTCAGTACAATTTTTAAATGTTTGTGATGTATGCCAAACTTTCTATGAGCTATAGATGAGGTTTAGATTTAAATTTATAAAGACAGTCCAGGAGACATGATTTGCTTTGAAAATTTCCTACATTTTTGTAAGATCATTGCAAGCACTTTTGTTATATTAAAAGTTTTTTCATCTACCCCTCATTCAGTCATCAATTTAATTGTTGATAACACTTTCTTGTACTAATAATATAAGGGCAGTGAGTAATAAATTTATCCTAATATCTATAAACCAGGCTTCAGAAAAATGTAGTTATCTTTTTTTAATACAGAATCAAACATTTTTGCAAAGACTTATGATTACATTCAATTACAGACTCAATAAAACAATTTAATAATATGAATATTATCTACCTCATGAATAAACGTCAGCTATTTTCTTATAGCTTAGTGACAGAAAACTCGACCTTTCTAGTAAGCACAGAAGGGAATGAAGAAGCCAAATAAGATAATTGGATAATCCTACACTGGCTTTCTCTCGCAAAATCCCACTTGTTTTCAATATGTAGGCGCGCCTGTCAAATAGGTCACTGAACCTGGCAGGTTCACCACCAACACCAATTTTCGCGGAAAACACATATGGAAGACAACTTACTTGACTTTCCCGCCGCAGTACTGACACTCAGGACCTTGCCAACCCTCATAACACACGCATGTATCATTCTTACACACACCATTGATACAGTTATGATCACTACACCTAGAAAGTACTCCATCACAAAACAATAACACTATGAGGACCGAACATAGGAACGGCGAAAACCAAGACACTTTTCGTCTGTATTTAGATTTGAACAAAAATAGAAACATTTGCAATGATTCTACCATTTTGATGTATGCATTTTCAACGAGTTTTGTTAGCGCGGACGAAAAGAAGCACAACGTCGCGTAGTTTTCGTACGGTACTAAATGTGTGTTGTCAGTAACAAAATAAAAAATACCAGAAATTAATCATTCTACTTTTATCTAGAAAATGAAGATCAACGCCGATGATTTCTATTAAAAATCATACCTAATTTCATTGATTTGGTCATTGGCTATAATAACATACCTACTTATAAATTTTGACTGCTCTACTGCCTGCACGCTTTCAGTGTGACGACATAAAAAGTGTGCCCAATAGTTCATTTAGTTTACTGGATGGCTCATGTAAACAATATTGAAATATCTCATTGTAATAAAATTATTATTTCGTTATCATATAATCATTAGTTCGATATTAACAAAAGTTTAGAGCTCTATTTAAATAAATTATTGAAATAGTTTTATTTCAATTCCTTTTTAAAGCTTAATAGTTAAGTAATTTGGGACATCTTTATCATTTCATCAGAGAACTCATCTCTTAATCTCCATGACTGTCTTATCTTGTTTGTATATATGATCTTGAAACAAATTTCATTATGTTACTTTATGTCACATATTGATGTTATTTAATTATAAACAAGTTTGGGTGAGCAAACGTAAAAAACATCACGTTGAAGTTTTTATTTTTTCCTGATATATGACATTTATGTAAGTGATTAAGGTTTACGTCATTCTTTGGCTTCTGATTATTGTTTAGTGGTTTACTGTGAACACAATCTCTACTACTAATATGAATTTTTGTTTTTCTTGCTCATTTAGGGTGCACTCACTGTGCTACCATGGGTTTGTCTTATGCCTAGGTTTTAAAGGAAAATGGTAAACAATCGTAAAAAAAAAAGATGGATCACTGTCTTCATACTGAAAAAAAAAACGACTTTTATGGTCGAAAGTGGGATAACTTTTCAAAATGTAGCAAATAAATAGAATCATAATTTCATGACGTTTCAAAGACATGTATAAGAAGCAAGCTCCGGGCTATAAATGGACAGACGGCATTTGCCCAGGGCGCCAAATTTTTGGGGGTGCAAAATAAAAGAGATAATAAAAATAAATAAAAGAAACAAATTGCCTTAAAAATATAATTTTAAGTTGTAATCTTTGCTGGAAGTGTGAATTATGTAGAAATAAATGTCTACATTTTTGTGTATGAAAGGCGTGTTTTCTTATTATTTGGCGCCAGTCACCTATGCCCGGGGCCTGATAAGAAGGTATAGCCCCACCTCGCGCCTTGCAATTTTTATTATTCCCGAACATAAAAGAACTTGTATTGTAACAGAGTACCCAGTCGGGGCACAGTCGACAGCACGACTTACTTGATTTAATGTGCAATCTAAAACACCTTGTAAGCAGTTACTTGTTAATTTAATCAATATTTTCGGAGACACATCGTCGTTTTTGTTTTCTTGTAAAACTGTGCCCACCTTTTTTATACTAACATAAACGTTTGAAATTAAAATTGGATGCATCTAGTTAATGCATTTTATATCAAATTATTCACAAACAAGTCTTTCCAATAACTTACACTACTCACATTATTTAAAAGGTCAGATTTCATTTCAGTTTCATTTCAGCTTTTATTGTAAATACCTTTTGACAAAATTTTGATTGACATTTTAACTAATTAAATTCAATTAGTATTTTACTGATCATTATCAAATTGCTCATTTATTGAGGATTTATTCTTACTGGCAATATAACTTTAAATAGACAGTTATGGAAACAAGGAATATATATTCACTGCCATGGAAATATTTTTTTGTCTAAATATAAGAACGACAATATCCACTACAAAAATATTTTAATCAATAACAATATACAAAAGTATCTGTTTTATTCGTATTGGGCCCTACATGTCAAACTAAAATAACTAATAATTTATCTTTAGTGCTATCGAAGATGTGACTTTGATAAAGATTTTTAATAGTTTTGATAAGTTTTAGTATGGTATTGGCAAATAAATGTGTATATTGTTAGCCTTAGTGGGTTTGCTCAAGAATTTTAAATATTATACCTATTAAAGAATATCAAATCTATGGTAAGTGCCAAACTTTTGGTCTTGTTTTCGTTTTGATTAAAATATAAATATATAATCCCTTGGCTTTGGGAGAATTAAGACCTCTTAACTCCCTCAAAACCAAGATTTTTACAATTCTTGTACCTAAAAGAATCGAAAAAATAAAGATAATAATAAAGAATATCTAAGCTTCTTGTATAGGTATGTAACTAATAAGCAAATGCTTGTTCCTAGGTCTATCTTGACATAGTTAATATTAACCACAGAGAAAAAAGAATCATTGAGTAAAATATAATCGAAATAACCTAAAATTAAATGAAAGTTTATATAGCTCACATTCTATAACTATTGATATCACAGATGGAATATAGTTCACGATAATTTGTAGTGCCATGTGTTGCTATTGCTGCCAAGGTAACGGTTGTTGTGCAACTTGCTTGAGAATTGTTTGTTGCATCACGTTGTGTACATTTTTATTCCACTTGTGCAACATTGACTGTGATGAGTGCTGTGAAGGGTGTTGTTTAAGTGACCCGACCGATTTGTAAAATACTAAGTTTATGCTTACATAAAAACTTTCGTCTAAGATGTAAAATAAGCCATTGACTGCAATTACCTACTTTTTAAATTTTATGAATTTCTTATGCTACTATCAAGAAAGTTCTTCAAACTTTTAACTTTATTTTGTGTTATAGGTATTTATTAATTATAACAATATTGCAATTATTGCGAAAAACATAACAACAGCTTAAAAGTCTGTTATTTTCTTAGCACTATTTTGCACATAGAACGCCGTACTCCAAAGAGTAAAATGTAGTACACTGCCATGGCACCGCAGGTTGCGATTGGCTAATAATGGGGTGCAAATATGCTATGCAGGTATATCTAAGTTATTAATGTGAGTGAGCATTATTATATGTACTATAACATATTTGAATATGATAAAATAATACCATATTTAGATTTGCTACAAATTCAATCTTAACGTTTAATAATATTTACACTAGATTAGGCCGAATGAAGTAAAACCTCTTTGTTTGATAATAAACAACAAAAGTATCAGTCAAAGTGACAGTGACAGCCGACTAACAAACATTGTTTGAGGTTAGGTATATGAGGTTATATTGTCAATAATAATAATAATTGTTATTCAATAATATTTCGAGAAAGAAGAATATTAATATTTAAATCCCGTTAAAATGCCGTTCATGAAAGGGAAAGCTCCCATTCGTCGGACTCTAAATTATCTACAAGCTGGCAAGTTGGTTTTGAAAGATAAAATTCGAATATTTTCCGTCGCCTACAATATCGAAGGGAAGAACAACAACGGTGCAAAGGAATTCGTTTTCTGGTATTTACCACAAATCCAATACAAGAACCCGAGCGTACAAGTTGCTACTTTGAAGAATCTAACCCCATCTCCTTTCGTGAAGTGTTATTTTGATGATGGCAGAAAGATTTTAGTGGACGTTGATAACAAATCTAAGGAAGAAATTTTGGAACATTTGATCAACACAGTAGGCAAAAGCAAAACGGTTCTTGAAGCTGAAGCAATCATGGCTGAAAAAAAGGACAACCCGGCAAACTTTGGCATTGGCTGCGAACGTCCCTGTATATGTGAAGTATACGGCCAAGTACCATGTTCAGGTGTTGTGCCACTACCTAAATTTATGAGAGGAAAATATAAAAATGCTACAAACTAACTGAGTTATATTAGTAATAAATTGTGGTAGAATGATGTGAGTAATTGAAAATACAAAAGGTTTATTAAAACACAATAATTATCTTACACAGATACATGTAATTGAATAGAAATTATTATTTGAGGGTCTGTGGCTGAAATGTCTGAAAACTATAAATATACACCATAAATTGTATTTTATTACATGGAGTTCTTTCATCTGAAAAGTCAGCATGTAACTTAGTTATAATTGTAATATACTAATTTTTAGTAATTTCATATAACTTTTATTTCATAAAGTAATTACATTGTTTAGAACTTATATCCTTTGACTGCATTTGCCATAAGAGCTGCACTGATGTACTGCATATTTTGGAAAGAACTGAATGTTCGAGAGTTGCAGTGATGAAAAAGGTCATCATCAACTTCCTCTCCTCTAGGGCATGTGTGGAAGTATATCCATCTTGCTGAAGTGTTCTTTTGGATGTCCTGTAAATATAATAAAGGCATTAGTTGTTAAAATTAAAGTTTTCATGTCCTGCATATTCCTTACAAAAATTCAACTGTTTTGGCAAATGGCAAAAATAATATCATTTTTAATAACAACAAAATTGTATGGCATGGGATTAGGGTTGCCAGATGGTAGGGATTCGATGGTAGGTATATGTTCAGAGATCCGAAAAAAACAAATATGTTTGACAAAAATTGTTAGATTCTGTAAAATCGAAATACAAGAAAAAAAAAATAACCCACATCATAAAAAATATAATAAGTAGATATATTAGCTGTTTAAATGTTATACTATTATGTAATCTTATAAATTGAAAAAAAAGTAGATACTTTTTATTATTTTAAAATTTAATAAATTAAAAGTGGATTTTTATTAGTTTTTTTTTGTCCCAACTGTGATCCCAAAATCCCGTTTTTTTTTCAAATTTTCAGTGTCCAGATATTTTTATGTCTCGCTATCTGGTAACCCTACATGGGGTAGATAAAGCATTTATTTCTATCACAAACATGATGTCAACAATTTGTCTAACAGTTGCACAAACGCCCATTAAAGTTTAAATACCTACGCTTTTAAGTTCTATTGAATGTCAAATTTGTATGGGTAATGTCGCTTTAAATCTATGACAAATATAATGAACGACTGTGCAACTGATCGTAAGAGAGGTTACATAAACCGATTGACATTTAAACAATGAGGAAGTATTTAAAAAAAACGAAAGCATTAAAAAGCACCGCCACTAGATGGCGACTCTAGCTAAAGTTGATTTTTGTAGGAAACGAATGGACCAAAGACAGTCATTTCCATTCCTTTTAACTAACATATTAAAAACTTAGAAATCAATATAAATACGAAAAAGTACAAATAGAATACGAGTTGTTCTTTGAGTATTGAAAACTAATTTACTTTTGAACATGAAAGAAAACTGGAAAGGTTGTCATGGAGAAATCAAGAACGTACCGTAGCGACATCTAGTTTCATTTCGGGAACTAATGTTTTTTTAAATAGGTACTTCCTCATTGTAAACGAAAGAAATAACGTTAATAAACTTTAACAATAAAACTACAAGCTTTTTACCTATAATCTTCATTCACAGATTTGAGGAATATTTTTTTATTTAGTATTATGTAATTGAGTTATTTTTAATATTTGCTTGAAAAGGGATGACAACTAATTTATTATTTTTAATAAAAAAATGCTTAAAAATTCACTATGTCACTGGCACTCTAAGGTAAGACTAGAACCCATGTAGAGTAGATTGCCTGAACATTTATTTTATTTATCAGGCTCTCACAACAATGAGTACACTAAAACTACAATAAAAATTACATAACGACAAGGTTATATACTAAGTGTCCCATTACTTATTGGAGGGCACCGCTTGCATTGTTAGATCATTACACACTTCTCCCACACATAGGCGTTCCAGGCGAGCCACAGCAGCACTATGAGAGACAAGCACGCGCATCACAGCCGAGCGACCGAAACGTCCATATTGAGAACGCGTTTATATTGGCTATAGTTTTAACTTAAAAATAAAAATAATAAAAGAAATATATAATACACGTTACAATTCTAGTGTATGAATAGTTTCTTAATAGCAGGCATGGAAGTCAAAACAAGGTCGATATTATTTTGGTATTCCTTATAAAATGCAGTTGCTCGCGATAAAGGACAGTGCAACTTTAGATTTGTATGACTCTTAGGTGGATGGAAAAGTTTGTTACTGCCAGATCTCGGTAAATGACATGGAATATTAAAGTTTAATTTAGAAAGTAGATCGGGACAGTCAGCAGATCCCATCACAAGTCTTTTTTGAAATATTATATCCGTTATTTTTCTTCGCGATTCTAATGTAGACATATGAAAATGTTTTAAACCATCCTCATATAGTTTGACTTTTTTTCTTATTTTGCATGAAAATGTCAAGTGCCTTATAAATTTAATTTGCAACTTTTCAATGCGTTGTATGTGTATTTTATAGGTAGGTGACCAAACTATACTACAATATTCCAAATGACTTCTGACCAGAGAGTTGTACATGACCATCTTAGTTAGAGGTTTTTTGAAATTTTTACATTAAGAATGATCAGTATAGTCTGAAACTAGAAGACATATGGAAATCTGTTCTTAGGACCTAGATTTTAGATATGTAGTTATTTTGAATTCCCTTTTTACAAAGCCAAGCATTTTAGAAGCCTTTAAGACACAGGTGTTAATATGATTATTAAAATGCAATTGTTTGTCGATATGAACGCCCAAATCCCGAATTTCGTCGAGAATTTCTTCATTTAATTTGTATTTAGTATGTATTACATTGCGATTACGAGTGAATTTTATATGCTTACACTTTTTTATATTGAGCGTCATTTTATTTTGCTGACACCACACCATGAATTTATCCAAATCCTTTTGAAACAACTCCGAATCTCTATAATTTGTTATTGTTTTAGTAGCTTTTATATCATCAGCAAACATGTACAGACTAGAATGCCGGAAACACTGCTCCACATCATTAATAAAAACATTGAACAGATAAGGACCCAAGTGAGACCCCTGTGGAATACCCGATGTTGCTATATAAGGATAGGATCTGAGTTCATTCATCACAACTGTCAGATCACGTTGTGTGAGATATGATCGAAACCATCCAAGCAGTGGCTCTGAAACTCCACAAACAACCAATTTTCCAATTAGAATATCATGGTTTACCGTGTCGAAGGCCTTGCAGAAATCAGTGTATACCGCATCAACCTGCACCCGTCAATCAACTGCCTCTACAAGGTCCTCGACACAAGTAACCAAGTTAGTAGCAGTCGATCTACCTTTTATAAACCCATGCTGTATGATTGATAGTAACTGTTTCAAATGCCACCACAATATAGGACAAATAAGAGCTTCAAATACTTTGGCAAGGACGGATAAAATAGCAATCGGTCTATAGTTGGTTACATTTGTTTTATCTCCGGCTTTAAAAACTGGAACTATTTTTGTCTCTTTCCAAACTGTTGGAAACACACCCTCGCGCAGGGATCCATTATATATAATCATCAACGGAAGGGCCAGCTTTCCGGCAGTTCTAGATATAAACACAGGCGGGATTTCATCAGGACCAGCTCCTTTGTTTACATCGAGTCGATTCAATCTGCACAAAACTTCGCTTTCGTTGAAAGATACATTGTTTAAAATATTATTGTTACTAGAGTTTACATTATTTGAATAAGCTTGATGAGGATCGTTAATGGGATTTGTATATACCCTGGAAAAGTGTAATGCAAAGAAGTTACATATTTCATTGCCATCGTCAGAACTGTTATCTCCATATGACATAACACTAGGATAATTACTGACTGCACCTCTTTTATGCTTTAAGTAACTCCAAAACAGTTTAGGATTACGCGCTATCTTATCTTCCAAACCCGCAGTATAAGAGTTATAACAAACCACAGCCATGCGATCACATCGTTTTTTAAGGAGATCAAATTCAATTATATTCAGAGGATTGTTATATTTTTTTATCTTTAATCTTAATCTAATCTCGAACATTAATGAAAATAAGCTCTGTAGTAGCGAAAAAGTAACAAGTGCTTGAAAAATTTTGTCAGTTGTGTTACGTCCTGGGTAGCTCAGTGGTTAGAGCAGTCGCCCGGATCGTGAAAGGTCTGGTTCGAGTTCGTGTGCTAGGAAAGTGGTTTTCTAAGCATTTTTCATTAAGAATATTTTCCAGTATAGCTTTAAGAATGCAAAATTGATCAAATACAACAGATTAAACAGCCACACACAAAAAAAATCGGCCTGGGGGTCTGACTATGTATACTATGTTTTCGGGGTAATAATTATGGACCTCGAATTTAGATTCACCAACCCAGAAAACATAGAGTATACAGAATCAGACTATAATAGTCTGAGTCGCTCGGTGGCGTAGTGGATAAGCGCCGCGGCCCGAGATCGTTGTCGTTTAGCAACTTTCGCAAGGGTTGGTCACGGGATGGGTGACCAAAAAAATATTATCTCGAGCTACTCCGTGCTTCAGAAGGCACGTTAAGCCGTTGGTCTCGGCTGCATTTGCAGTCATTAATAACTTCCAATCCGCATTGGGCCAGCGTGGAGGGTCATGCCCCATACTCCTTAACCATCCATAAAGAAGGCCTGAGCCCCTGTAGTGGGGGCGTAAAAGGGCTGGTGATGATGATGATGATGATTGTCTGACTGCTGGAATAAATGATATTTTTTTACTCATTCATTATCCGTTATACCACAGATCAAACTTTTTTTTTTAATAAAAGACAAAGGAATACTTACCCTGACCCCAATATGAAACTCTTTCACTTCCTCCTTGTTGTGAGTAGTGGGCCCCGATATAACAACAGTAGCATTGCTCAGCACTTGTGTTGTCTTCATGCATTCCTTGGTTTCAGTACGACTGTCGCTTGTCATCACCTCACTGGCTTTGAGCAGGAGGGGAGAAACTCCTGCCTGGTGAACTGAGGGCATCATTCATTGTCGGAGAAAGGGTATAGATGTTATAGAAGGAGATTGTTCAAATTCATTATTTTTTTATATAGGTGTAAAATTTCTCTCGTCCATCAATAGATGACGTTGTGCGATTTGGCATCGCGGTAGTAACATTATTTCTATTATTTTATATAATTGTTAGCCTTATGAAATACCGATGGTCGCGTTGTTGAACCACGGCTGTGGTAATACAAAGTAGATCTTAGTATGTGTGTTTTATTGTTTACTAGCGCCCCCTATAGTGAAGTTTTTGTGTTAAACAAATTTGGTGCCGAAACCCGGGATTAATTAAAAATCTATGGTAGTGGTGAGTGAAAAATAAGTGAAATTTCTACCTTAAAACTGTAAGTAAAAAGACTTAGAAAATTTAATCAAATATTTGGACTTGTAAAATTTTCAAATAATTTCATGGACTTAGAATAGTTTTGCAAAAAGTGTTCAAACGTGGAATCTATGCCAAAAAAAATATTCAAGTGTAATAAATTTAAAGACTTAGAATAATTTGTGCAGAAATCGTCTTTCAAATAAACATATTTTTGCTGTATACATTTCGATCATATTTCTAAATAAGTTGCAATAATGGAAGTACAGAAACTGACGATAAGAGATGGGTCGTTGACAGATTTTCCGTCGACGAAACGAAGCCGTTCATGGACCTTGATCGACTAGTCGATCAACTAGTTGATTTTAACTATAGTTGACACATAGAACTACGTCAACGGGTACGAACTTTGGACGAAGTTAAACGGTTTTAATTGTTTTATTGAACCGTATATCAATATTTAAAAGTAAACATTGTTGATCATCTGTACCTGGTTATGATTTTTTATTGTCGAAAGATAGCGCTAGTATTCTAATTAGATATTGTTTTGGGTTTTGTATTTTAAACGAAACCGTATCATTAAGTCTTCGCTATCCGTCCGTCTGTCTGTCACTAGGCTGTATCTCATGAACCTTGATAGATAGATAGTTAAAATTTTCACATAAGATTCATTTCTTTTGCCAATAATGAACAAATACTAAAAACAGAATAAATATTTGCTTTTATTTAATAAAATAATGTTTTTGCTCGATATAGGGATGTTAAAAAATAATCGATTTTTATTTTAATCGATTATTATTTTAATATAATCGATTTTTTATAATCGACTTTCCATGTCATATTAATCGATTTTTAAAAAATCGATTAAATAAATTGCGCGGTTCAATCGATTTTCATAAATAGCATCATCTATGCGCCAAATGAAAAAACTCGAAGCATTATTACTTAAAAGTTGATTATATAAAAACGGCGCCATCTGTAGGTATGTAGGTATATATGATCTATTTCATGGCGACCGTGAACACGATGGTCCGAAGCTACAAAATAGTGGTGTGAATTGTGACATGGGACGGAGGTCAAGCTGTTAGTTATTTTCCTACATACTTATAATGGGATAGACAGCAAATTATTATTACTCCGAGAATTAAATTAACTATGTTTATCAATTGGATATAAAGAGAAGATGCAAGAAATTCTTAAAAGAAGTCATTGAAGAAACTGCAATGGTTATAATACAAAAAGTAATTAAATGATAACGAAGAAGAAATGGCGGATAACCGAAGAAAAAAATATGTAAGAAGAATCTGATACTCAAGACGACATTAGAATAACATCGATGTTGACATCGATATCATCATCGTAAGTCCAACATCGATGTTTGATATTTATCGAAAACTAAACATTTACATTCATGACAATATTTTTTTTTTATATTTGTATTTAATTTTTTGCGACAATAAGGTTGTCATTTTGATGGGGTGCTCATTTAATTTTTATTATTATATAACGTTTAAAGATACTGAGAATTTCTATCAATAATGATATTTGGTTTTATTATTCCTTACCTTGAAAGTTTAAAAGAACATTTGCTTTGATTTTTAGTTTTGAATTGTCAATTTTTTTATTCATATTAGTTTTTTTTAATCTGATTAATTGTTAATATGAATCTTTTAGGTTTATTATTGGAATATGCAAAGCATGTAGGATTTTAAATAATAGAATAAAAATCGATTTTTTCGCAAAAATCGATTATTTATTTTCATTGAAATCGATTATTCACAAATCGATTTATAATTTATAAAAGATAATCGATTTTTATTAAATCGATTATTTTCTATTAATCTCACATCCCTAGCTCGATATCGATTCTTGCAGCGAGTAGACCCTTGAAAAATCACTTAAAAAATAAACAGTTAAATTAAAATAAAATAAATACTCAAGTTGGTTCTCGTACAAATACAACAGATTTAATTTTTTGCCGTTTTATAATGGTAAGTACGGATCTCTTCGTGTGCGAGTCCAACTCGCACTTCACTTAGCCGTTTTAAACATACAGTTAAAAGAAATATTATGATTTTTTTCTGTAATAGGATAATTAATTTAATTAATAATTAATTAAAATAGTAAATTAATATTCACTGTAGAAAAAGTTAACTTATACTAAGTAGTAAAATTCTTAACACCGCCATGTCCAAAAACGTATAATACCATCTATCGGGGATTAACGTAAACAAACAAAGTCTAACATGTATTTAAACAAGGCCTATGTATTAGATACGCGTGTTCAAATATTTACTTACTTCCTTTGACTTTAGAGTTTAAATTATTTCAGCTGTCAAAGTTACATGAAAATTTAATAATGGAAACAATCGAATTCCATTGTATTATACAGATAAAGTTATGCGTCGCAGTTTCGTAATATGTTTATAGATGAACGGTGCGTTCTTCGTTTAGCCGTCGACTTTTTAACTGGTTGTATTATTGTATTATACGACAAAACTAAAGCGTTGTAGACTAGGTGTACGTTGATCAACGAACGTAACGCTCTTTATCTGATCATTGAAAATTCAACTAGTTGAATTATCAACTATAGTTAACGTATGCAACTACGTCGACAGGATAGACGTGGACGGATGGGAGTGTGCGTTTATTTATGAACTACAACCAACGTACAAATATTAACCGTATTGGATGGACTATATAGACTTTCGCAGTTGACCGAACTACTTAACGTTAATGGATATAAAAAATAATATAGTATTTATTTTGTGTAAGATCGTAGTTACCTAGGTGTAGGTATAATAGAAGAAATTTACGGTTTCATGTTTTTTAATAATCTAACTAGAAATCTTTAATAAATATTTTATTATATTTATCAATAAATATTATTTTTCGTTTATAGTGATATGTTTTACTATTTTAACATAATATTATAGATATACTGTACTTTAGGTTTTGTTTGTTTTGGTTCAAAATAAAATTATTAATCTTAATATTAAAAATTATTGATAGAGATTTTATTTTAGAGAATTTAATGCCCAGAGTGAATTAAATTCTCTAAAATAAAAAAAAATCTATAAACGTTCTTTCAGAGAAAGAAAGGTTAGAAAGATTATCAGACAAAAAAAAATCCCAAGGAAACCCTAATTAAACACACAATTAGACGAGTGTATGCAAAACTAAAGAAAAGTTTCTTATCGCAACAATAGTTGATCTATACTAACTAGTAAAATTCTTAACACCGCCGTGTAGATAAATACAAGAACTGTATAACACCATCTATTAGAAACAAATGTAAACAACAATCACTTTTGACATTCATATATATATACAAGGCCTATGTATTAGACGCGCGTATTGAAATATTTACTTACTGCCGTTGAATTTAGAGTTTAAATTATTTCAGCGATCAAAGTTACATCGAATCTTTATGAATGGAAAATGATGCGTTGCAGTTTCATAACATGTTGTTAGACGAACGGTGGGTTCTTCGTTAAGGCGTCGATTTTTCAACTAGTTAACCAAAGAACTGTCAACGGTCGACGCGTTGATTCTACGTTAACGGTTGATTTAACTAGTCCGTTGATTCAACGCCCATCGCTACTGACGATTATACATACATACAAGAAGATAGATTTCAAAAATTAGTAAAAGCTGAAATCAATTATAAGAAAAGTCCAAAGGATAGAATTACTTTAGGATATTTAGAAGCGAGATTGGAAACTTTAGATAAGTTGTGGAATGACTTTGAAGAGACACATACAAATATTATTACGTCTGTTAAGGCTGATGAGCGCGGTACTCTAGCCTACTTCAAAAATAGTATTTATGATCAATTCGAAGAAAATTACACCTATTATAAGGGTACTTTGAGAGAAGCGCTTCGAAAAATAAGTTCAACGCTCATTCAATCCAATCTGAATAAAACAACTTCTTGTGATGTCAAATTGCCTAAGATACAATTACCCAATTTTAGCGGAAATACAGCGAATGGCAGTCGTTTCATGACCTATTTACGTCAGTTGTACACAATAATAATAAAATATCTTCTGTTGAAAAGCTGCATTATCTAAAGAGCGCCTTAACTGGCGAAGCAGAAATCTTAATTCGTAATTTGCCAACAACAGAACTCAACTATGAATCAGCATGGGAAAAGCTCACCACAAGATACAACAATAAACGATACAATTGTAATGCAATTCTTAGAACATTATTTGCACAGAAACAAATTATTGTTGAATCAGCAAATGCTATCAAGGGTTTACTGGACGTAACATCTTCCTGTTTGACTTCATTAAATAATCTCAACATTCCTACAAATTCATGGGATCCTATTATCATATTCATGGTTGTGTCTAAATTAGACCACGAATCACTACGACGATGGGAACTAAATATTAGCGGAATTCCAACGAATGGGCTTCCCACTTGGAATGATTTAGTTGTATTTCTAGAATCACGATTTCGAACGTTAGAAATGATTGACAGTAATAAACCAATGCAAAGAACCCCTCAACAAAATTTTAGACGACCAGAAAAGGTAAAATCATTTGCAACTGTACATGATGAAAAAAGTGATATGAAGTCAAAATGTACCATGTGTTCAGGGAATCATTTTCTATATCAATGTAAGAATTTTGGCCAACTTTTACCAAATGCG